ATGGCAAGGGGGTGGGAGTGAGAAGAGGTAAGGGGTATAAATGAAATTCTATTGGTCACAACTTCATAATTGTTGAAGCTGAGTAATGGGAACCTAGGTTTATCATATAATCCTTCCACTTTTGAATATCCTTGAAGTTTTCCATAATAAAAAGTTAAAAAACAAATCCTTCAAGGTGGTTTTGAGAGAAAACAGAAGTTTTAGCTAACTGAAAGAACTTTATATCAAGATTTCATGTGGCTTATTTTGGTCAAGTATTCTCTGGTCATATGAATTAATTCCAACCAGATTTCCCACTAGGTTTCAACAATCAGGTAAGAATAACGCATGTAACTTGGCCACTTTCTTGTGGTTGAGTAAACAGCAAAAGGAAATGGAGCAAAGTGTCTATGTCAAAAAATTAAAAGAAGGAAAAGAAAAAAGTCCACAAGAATCCTAACCTCTCCTTTGACCCTGTATGAAATAAAGCCACCATTCTCATCTCAGACTGACAAATTTCCTGCTAATTTGGCAGCATTCTTTATCCAAGTACAAACCGACGAATTGGCTGGCTTTTTCCTGCTCAAGTCACTGTTTAAAGAATGTAACTATTTCTCCCTTTCCTTCGGTAAGGAGCACATAACTGAAGATCTCATACCTCTCCTGCCCTGCTGTGTCCCACAACTGCAGGTGGATTCTCTGGCCTCTGCCAATGGCTCCATCCGGCCCATTGGCTCTGTACACCTAAAACAGCAAAGTGAAAGAGAAAATAAAAGAGAACTTCTGACACCAGTGAACCCTTCTCACCTTTTTATTCAGTACAAATCCCTAAGGCATCTAAACTTCCAAAGAGAATCCCATATGGAATACAACCACGTTTGTATTTATGTCAAATAATTATATCCAGGTAATGTAATAAGTTATACTGAAATATATGTATATATTTTATAAATATATTGTAAAATATGTATACAAAATAACTTGTATAAAATATAATATAATTAGCTTATCTTTCCTCAAAGTTCTCTTGGGTCACTAGTTTCAGGAAATATTACATTTCTATGGCTTTTTCCAATCTCATCTTTTTTGTTGGTTTAACCAGGGGGTACACGTGCAGGATTGTGACATAGATAGATTGCATAGTGCTGGGATTTGAGCATTTATTGAACTCATCACCCAAACAGTGAACGTAGTACCCAGTAAGTAGTTTTTTAGCCCCTGTCTTGCTCCCTTCCCCCTTTTGGAGACCCTAGTGTCTACTGTTTCTGTCTTTATGTCCATGCGTACCTACTGTTTAGCTCCCACCCTGGACCGTTAAAAATTTCTTCCTCCACAATAGCAACAAAAACACTGGTAAAAATTGTCCAAATCAACTTTTTCAGTACTCTAGAAATTAACAAAGACTTGCAACATTCCAAGGAGCATTTATTCAAGAAAAACAGCTGAATATCAGTAAAAACAGTAAGCTTTGAGGTGTTTTTTTACCTTGCCCCAGCTTTTAGAAGACTTAAAAACCACTTGCACAAATGTGGTAGTTGTGAAAACATCAGCCTAGCCACCACTGTGGACAGCGGAGGCACAATAGGTTTGGAGCTCCCTAAAAGTCCCATACTGAGAAAAATTGTCAGGAAGCCCCTTGGAAAGCTCCATGCCCCAGCTTTGTTTTTATTTGACCTCACTCAAAGCTTGCTCTTTGAGAACAGCCCTATCCCCAAGGGCGTTTGTTGAAAACTATTAGCAGTAATTTATTTAACATCACAGCTACCAGAGGTAGCAATACCAGTTAGGGCTAACAAAAGTCTAACAACAGCAACAACAAAACAAAATTTAAAAACAGAAAATGAGATTTCTATAATGCTCCCAAATATTCCTTGGAAGCTATAAGGCCATGTTCATGGGCAGGGCTCTATAAATGCCCAGGAAAGATCTAAAAAGGTCCTAATCTCTCACTTCTGACTGACTTTGAGGTTCTTCTCAGGCAGAAAATAAAAGCTAAGGCAGAGTTGTAAACTGCCTGCAGTCATATTAAACAC